GTACGATTTCGTCAATTCACAAATGAACTGCGAAATTTTATGTTTGCTATAAATTCGTATATAACTTGGAAAAAAAACGAGGTGGAGGATTTCGAAATGGCGAAATCGTAGGGGTGTGCGCCTACGATTGCATACAAAAGTCAAGTTCTGGCCTACGAATTCCGTAGAATGGGATATCCGAAGCAAATGGGGACAGAATCACCCGTATAATCCCCAAAATATCCGTACTGCAACCTGAAGTAACGGTACAATCGAAGTTCTGGGTTATGGGGAAAATATTTGGGGATGCGGTGGAGATGCTCTTAAAGGCGACGTACACCATACATCGCAAGAAAATTGGTTCGTTCAAGGAGTCCTAGTTTGTAACGAATAAATGTCAAACATCACCTTGTTGGTTGACTTATACCTCGTCATTTCATATTAGGCTCCAAAACCAGTTTGCATGATATATCGTGAGAATAGCGATGAGTCAGGATAAAAATATGAATCAAGCGGAATCAAACATATTCTTGTCAGTGACAGATGGATGTCATAATAGTCGCTGAACAAATTAAACATCCCACAATTTCCAAATGACCGCCAGATTTCCAAAATGAAGCTGCTTCTTGTGATTGATGGAGTAATTTACCACTAACGCCGAACGACCATTAATGGGCCGACTTATTTCATCCAATTAAAACGCCAATCAACTCTGATTGGACAAAAGGCAACCTCTCGACAAAATTAACCTGCATGAATTAATGGAGGGGAAAATATTACATATTAAAGGTTCTTCAATTTATGAACCGACGAAATGCCGCCAAGAACGCAGGTCACCATGGACAAGGCCGTCCACGATGTGTTAAGCAAGTACACACTGCGGAGGCCTATGACGTTTCATCGCGGACGCTTCGGAAGCATTTGGCAAAAGCTGACCCCGGCGTCATCGAAATACAAACATCTTTCAAGGAAGACGTGACGGTTAGTGTTAAGTTTATCACGGAATACGAGTTGCTCCAAGTTCAATCGGCGGCGAAACCAAAGCAAAAGAAGAAGGCAACTCAAGTAGCAGCTGTAGAAATGGACAATGAGGTCAACATTGTTCAAGTAGTAGAAATTTGAATAATCTTATCGATTAGTTGCAAAGTGGTTGGTATTGTTTGCAATTTCAAGTTAAAGGACAATAAAGTAAATGTTATTATTGTTTATGCTAACTGTAAATGTTGTTATTGTTCGAATTTAAAAGACACAAGAAAAAGATTTATTTTTTGGTTAACGTTATACTAACTGTTATAATTTATGCTATATTCAGATTCCTTAGGCACCGTGTCCACCTCGAAGAATAATCTTCACTGGTTAACCTTTGCCCTGACCCAACCTACTCCCATTGTAGAGGAGTTTTACAGTGTGAGGGTACGGAACGGACGCAGGCACACTTGGTGGTGACGAAACTTATGCTGCTGACACCCGCAATCGACATCAGAAGAAATATGCTGAATGACACACAAACCAGGTTGTCCCAGTATCGTACAACGGGGTTTTGCGCATACTCACCAACGTTTGCACAAACGTTTGTACAAACGAGCTATATTGCACAAACGAGTTACAATATGAGGTGTATATTATTATTCCACGTGTGCCAATAACATTGGAAATGTTATTTTCCAACTGAGACTCCAATAGGTGATACCTGTTCAGATTTGGTAAACCTCTATTAATTTTTATTTCTCGCCTGGATGTAAAAAAACTGACACCTGGATTCTTCATACTTAGTTCAAGTATAAAAGTTGGCCCATCAATGGTCGACTGTGTAAAGTGCTCGACTTCAAAAAAATCCTGTACATTCCTAAATTGTTTAAATCGATATCCTTCGAGTTATTCATAAAGTACTCATCATTACCTATCCGAAAATGTATCACTCCCACTCGGAAAACAAAAAACAACCGAAATAATTGAGATTAAAAATGAAGAAAAGTTGGCCCATCAATGGTCGGACACGTTAGTTTCTTCCTACCCCGATCCGAAACCCCGAGATGCACTTTTGCAATTACTCGAAATCTGAGGACACCTCAGACTATATCGTGCATCGTGCAGGGTATCACCTTCAGATATGTTAGGTGACAATTTCAAGTAACGCTTGAAGGATTTAGCCGTCAAACGCTGTCCCCGTATTTCAGTACCGTAAAATTGAATGGTAAAACTCAACTCGTCAAGAACAATTCGTTTGGAGGTGGTCGATCGTTGCGGTGAACTTAATTACCATTGATGCATAGTTACTACTAACGTTACGTAGTACTACTTTATAATTTTGTACTTTTGAGGGCCTTTGTGCCAGCAGTTGTGCCTTTTGACACCAAAGCGTCATTCCAATTAGTCGGCAGCCAAGGGGAAATGAGTGTTCTTGGAGATATTCAAAAGTCGTAAGAAGTCGAGTTATTTCGAATAATGTTAGTATACATATTTTGATCAGCATGGCGCTTCCTGAATAGGTTCGAAATGACTGATTTCGGGGCCTATTGTACGTCATTAAATCTTATCAAACACATTTCAAGTGAAACAATACATTTTTTTTAGTTGCAATATACAAATATACAGCTGGAAATCGTTTAGGCGGTCAAGCTGGCCTTGAGCTCGGCTTTGGTCATGCCGATGATTTCGCCCACCTTGGGGTTCTTCACGGGGGTGTCGTAGTTGCACCAGACGTAGTTGCCGTTGGCGCATTCGGACCACCCGCACGCCATGGACGTGACTTCGGGGCTCATCATGTTGGAGAAGTGGCCGCACTTGGCCCAGCCCCCGTTGCACGAGTTGCTGCCGTAGTTCCAGAACGTTTCTTCTTGGTCGTACCACAACCACGATGCCCCCACCACCTTCGTGCAGTCCTTGCCACTCGATTCGCACGTGGTGTAGGTGGCCAAGTTTTGCCAGCCAGCGGGACCCCCGTGCTTGAAGCCATGACAATCTTCGGCCCAAGCCCGCATTTTGGGCTCCAGCTCATAGTTCCAAGTCACCGGGTCGATACCGTGGGCCGCACGAATTTTGTTGGTTTGGGCAATCAGTTGGTCCTTGACACCGTTACCAGACGGAGTTGGGGCATATGTCGAAGAAGGCTCAGTCGTGGGGGAAGGGGTGTATGACGGGGAAGGTCCCGTGGGTTTAGGCTCAATGGTCGGGGTAGGGCGGTTGGTGCATTGAGTTGAGTTATTGGGGGGGGGCGAAGAAGAGGATGGTTTGCGAGAGGGATAAGAGGGTTTGCTGGACGAAGGCGTCATAGCCGAGTCAGTTGAGTTCTTGGGGGGGGGCGAAGAAGAGGATGGTTTGCGAGTGGGATAAGAGGGTTTGCTGGACGAAGGCGTCATAGCCGAGTCAGTTGAGTTCTTGGGGGGGGGCGAAGAAGGTTTGCGGGTCGACTTCGGGGCAGACGAAGAAGGTTTGCGGGTTGATTCAGTAGGCAGTTGGCTGGATGAAGGCGTTGTGTTAGATGAAGGAGTCGAACCGGACAATTCAGGGTATGCGATCCTTTGGGCCACATTGCATGTTCCCTTTTCAGTCACCCCTCGCTTCAAGTATATGTACCCTTTGTCGCCCCATTCTGTCCCCCACGAGTTCTTGATCTTGAAGTAATCGTCGTTGTAACCGACGGCAATCACAGCATGATCGGATTGAGCCCCAGGACACTGCGACACGATGCCACTCTTGTAGTTGCGC